TTTTGAGACAGGCTGGTCTCAAACTCACAGGGATCCTCCTGCCTCAGCCTCCTGAGTGCTGGGATTACAGGTGTGCGCCACCACACCCGGCTTTGCCTTCATTTCTTTTTCCTTCTCCTTTCCTCCTCCTCCTCTTTTATTTATCTAGTTGTTGTTGTCGTCGTCATGGGATTTAAACACAGGTCCTGGTACTACTAGCCAAACATTTTACCACTGTTTACATTCTCCAGCCCCTTTTTAAAATTTTGAGCTAGGGTCTTAAAAAATTGTCCAAGATTGGCCTTGGACTTTTGATGCTCCTGCCTCCCGAGTGGCTAGGATTATATTATAGGTATGTGCCACCATGCCTTGCTGCTTTTTCTTCCTTTAAAATTTAAGTAAACTCTATGTTTAGAACAGTTTTAGATTTGTAGAAAATTGTGATGATATACTACAGAGTTTCCATGTACCTTATGTTACTTTTCCTCTTCTTAATATTTTACATTTGTGTGGTATAGTTATAGTCAAACCTATGAGAACCTAGGATGTAGCTTGGTGGTACAGCACTTGGCTAGCATGTGTGAAGCCCTGGGTTCTATTCCAGATTTGTGTGTCATCCTTGCACAGGGGCCATGTTAATCTTCTCTGTGTTGTCCTTTTTTTTTTTTTTTTTTTTTTTTTTTTTCTTTTCTTTTTGAGACAGGGTCTCACTGTAGCTGAGACTGACCTGGAACTCACTGTGTAGTCCAGGCTGGTCTTGAACTCACAGTGATCCTCCTGCCTCAGCCTCCCGAGTGCTGGGATTACAGGCATGCGCCACCATGCCTGGCTATGTTGTTCCAATTTTAGTAAATGTGCTGCTGAAGTGAGCACCCTGGGTTCTATATCTAGTGCTACAAAAGAAAAAAAAACCCAAAAAACAAAATAGTAGTAATACATTAGTAACAAGTTCATACTTTTAGATTTCCTTAGTTTTTTTTACTAATGTCCTTTTATTATTTGAAGATATATATCATATTACACTTTAGGCTCCTTTTGGCTATACCGGTTTCTTGGACTTGCCTTTTTTTTTTTTTCTTCCTCCTCTTTGGTACTGGGGATTGAACTCAGGACCCTTTACACTGAGCCACATTCCCAAACCTGTTTTTTCTTCCTTACTATGAGATAAGATCTCTTTTTTTCCAGTAGCAGGGATCCAGCTCAGGACCTTGAGTTTGACAGGCAGACACAGTGCCACTGAGCCACCCCTCCAACCTGAGATAAGATCTCTTTAAGTTGCTAAATTGCCTGGGCAGGACTCAAATTTGTGATCCTCCTACCCCACCCTCCCAGAGTGCTGGGTAATAGGCATTTATTTGCCACCACATTCTGAGAAACTTGTCTTATCTTTGTCACTGACTGGTCAGGTACAGTGTGTCCCTCAATTGGAATTTGTTTCATTTTCTCAAAATTAGACTAAGGTTATATTTTGGGGGAGAAAACCACAGAAGTGCCATTTTTAACAACTGACCAAAGGTATATACTATTAATATGACTTGACACTGCTGATAGTTGACATTGAAAATCTGGCTGATGGCTGGCAATTTGGCTCAGTGCTTCCGCAGCCGGCACTGTAAATGCAAAGGCCCGAGTTCGATCCTCGGTACCACAAAAACAAAAACAAAACATTAAAAAAATTAAACAAAAAACCTGGCTAATGCCGTGTTTGTCAGCTTTTTATCTGTGAAGTAACTGTTTCTCCCCTGTTCATGCACAGCCCACATTGGAAGAGGGAAATCAGCTACAGTGATGCACACCTGTAGTCCCAGCTATTTGGGAGGCTAAGGCAGGAGGATTTCTTAAGTTCAGGAGTTTGAGGTTAGCCTGGGTACCATAACAAGATCCTGTCTCTTTAAAAATACCCCTAAACCGGCCTGGGGATTTATTTAGCTCAGTGGTTCAGCGCCTGCCTCACAAGCACAAGGACCAGAGTTCGATCCCCAGTACCAAAAAAACCCCAAAAACACCCTAAACCACAAAACAACAAAATGAGCTGATCCTGGTGACAGGATTGCAAGTTTGAGGCCACCCTGGGCAAGTTAATGAGACCTTGTTTCAAAATTAAAATAAAACGGGGCTGGGAAGGGCCAGGGATTTAGCTCAGTGGTGCCTTGCCTGCCTTGCCAAGCATAAAGTCATCAGTTCTATCCCTGGTACCCCCCCAACAGAGCGGGGGCTGGGAATATAGCTCAGAGCTGCCCACATTCAACCCCTAGTAACTTGGAAAAAAAAAAAGTGAGGAATTAGGCCCACCTTGAGTATCTGCATGAATTACTGGGGTTCTTCTGCATAGATGCGTATTCTCTCTCATTTGTTTAGTCATTTATTTATATCAATATGGACTCTGGGATATTTATTTTATATTGAAGTTGTTCCAGCTTTGGCCATTGGGAGCATTTTGTTAGTCTATTTTGTGGTTTTTTGTTGTTTTGTTTTGGGTTTTGTTTTGGTACCTGGGATCAAATTTGGAGCTTGTGAGGCAGGCAGTGGAACCACTGAGCTAAATCCCCGGCCTGACTGGTCTTGAACTCCTGAGTTCAACAGATCCTCCTTTCTCAGCCTCTGAATGCAGGAACTATTGGCACTTGCACCCTGGCTTAATTTGCCATCTTTTAAACCTCAGTTTAAAGTTACTACTGTGACATCTTGACTCTTTAGGCCCCCAATTTCAAAATAAGACAGTAGTGATATCTTTTTGGTATAGTTTTGCCACTGTATGAAGTCAAAAACTTTGAGTCTCTGTTTAACCTTGGGTAGCGTGGGTATGATCCAGACCTGATGAACAGTTGTGTGATGCATACAGTGCACTGGACAGATGTAGGAACTCAGTTAATGGTAGAAGGCTCTCTCTCCTAGCATGGTAGTATTTCCAGAACTAATCAGCAGAAGGATTCTTATATTATCTTTCTTTTTTTTTTTTGTCGTTCCCAGCACAGGCCCAAACCCAAAACCTGGAAATAAATCCAGAAAGTAGCTTCCTTCTATCCTGTCTTCCCAATAGTTCTTTGTAGGCAGTAAGAACCTGGTGCCTTTAAACTGAAGCAAGGAATAAGTGGCCTGTCCAGGCCAGGAAGCTGGAGAGGAATTTCTGGGGTCATATGGAATTAAGCAGTGATTTCCCAGGTGTTGCCTCCCAGCCTCTCACAATAGCTTATCCTGGGGAAATCTTTGCTGGCGGCACAAGTGGAGGTGGCAACAGCTGAAGCATTGGACAACCAGGTGCTTGCTTCGTCTTGAATGGTGGTTCCCATACTTAGCTGTCTGGGCCAGCGGAGTCAGTGTTGCTCCTCAGCACAGCTAAGGGGTCTGCACTGTTAATCATCTCCCCTGGAAAGTCCTTGGCCAACTGGGCTCTTTATGTGGTCTGACCTGGAGAATGACTATTGTGGGTAACCAAGGCTCTTTGACTTCTGACTTGAATGGGCCCAGCAGGTGTCCTAGATAGAATCACAGAGCTTTGATACTGGAGGCTGCAGGGGAGTGAGTAAATGTTCCCAGCTTCTCCGTGCAGCTAAGCTGGGAAGATAA